TACTGCTGGAGCTCCGCTCCTGTGCGCTCCTGAAGGAAATGACCACTGTCTATATGCATGCCTTTGCTGGGTGGAGGGGAAGGCTGGAGATTTTCTTGGAGGGCAGCCTTGTGTCGAAGCTGAAACTATTTTCTAGAGCTTTTGGCTAGCTCTGTGTTTCAGAACCAAGTGTCTTCTTTGGCCTGAGTTTGTGTGTCTCTAATTCAGGTTAGAAGTGGGGTGCCCCTACTGTTTGGGCTACCCTAAATTAAGGCAGTGCCTCTGGGTAATAAAAGAGATGTATGTATAGAAATATTGATTTCTAAAAGTCTCCTGCCTTCTCCTGTGATGTCTTTCTGATAACATGCTGTGCCTTATTTCCTGTTGCAAGCCAAATGGTGAGGCCAGATGGCCTGAACAACTTTATAACCCACATTCCTTCACACCTTTATGTTAAAATGCTAGACTGTAGGGCTCCACACTAAGCCTCACATGAGTTTTGTCACGTATGCAATGAAGAAAGCTAGAGGTTGGGTCTCCTCACTGCAGGCAGGGCCTCAAACTTCTAGCTTATCCCCACACGCAGCTATGACAACCAACAATTGGGCACACACCCTGTCCACTCTGATTGGCTGATGGCCACAGCTAATTTATGACTGGAATTGGGGTATAATTTCCGTTGATCTCTATGAGAGTGTCTCTCTTGCTCTTGCTCCCTTCTCTTGCCATTGTTTGTTTGATTGCACCTGAAAAGCTGTCTCTTGGTAAACAAAGACCTGCTTTGTGACTTGGAGCACATGGTTTTGCAAAATGGGATTTCTCTTCAAAATCCCTCGGTATCTACCTTGGACTATTTTGAACTGTTGGATGTTCCTGAATTGGGTAATGATGAATCATTAATGTGTAGTTAAGGCAAATAGCCCTAGGTGTTTTATTGTTTTTAGTATCCTCTAATAGTCTGTTGCTATGCTTTGTACTGAATAAAGATCCTTCTTATTTCTAATTGTCTCTGATGTTGTAACTTGAAATCCAAGGCTAAATCTTGTGGCTGACGTTGACCACCTACACTACCTTTGTAAGAGTAAAGCGTGCATCCCTGAGTAGAAAGCTGCTGCTGTGTGTCCCGGATGCCAACTAAGGGCTTGAATCTCTCCCTTAGGAAAAGCAGGGACTAGTGAAAGAGATTCTGGTGGCAAATTGTTCTGAACACCAGAGAGGGTATAGACACTCTCGTGATTTGTTGTTTAATGTGCTGAAGATACAGGGTTCCCTCGCTTTCCTGGACTGGACTGAGTGGGTTAATCCTGTACAATGTATTAAAAAGTTGTCCTGGAGCAATGGTTTATGGGAAGGGGGGGGAATCATAGTTTTAACCCAAAATGTTACAAGGACCAGGGTCTGGGGTTAGGAAAAAACCCTACCCCATTGTAAAAATGCACAGATTTATGTTTGTTTGTTTGTTTGTTTTCCTCCTCCAGGTTCATTTTTTAAGGAAAGGAGTTTATAAATGGGGAGTGGTATAACTTGGGAACTTTTGACATTTTACCACAAGGAAGACTGCTGAGAAAGAAGAGATTAAAGAGAAGAGATTGGATTTATACCCCACCCTTCACTACCTGAAGGAGTATCAGAGCAGCTTACAATCTCCTTTCCCTTCCCCTCCCCACAAGAGGCACCATGTGAGGTAGGTGGGGCCGAGGGAGCTCTTTTGAGTACTGCTCCTGAGAGAATAGCTCTGAGAGAACTTGTACCTGACCCAAGGTCACACCAGCATCTGCATGTGGAAGAGTAGGGAATCAAACCTGGTTCTCCCAGATCAGAGTCCGTGCTCCTAACCACTACACCAAACTGGTTCTCTTCCAAACTGGCTCTCTGGGTGACCAACCCCCCCCCCCTCCACTTGTTTTTTGTGGCTTTAAGGAAGTGATTGTGTGAAAGTGAGTGCTTGGAATGAGTTTTGGGGATGTGTTTGTTTCTGTTTGCTTTGCACTTTTTCTTTCAGTTTGACTTCTTACATTTGCCCTGAAGGATGTCACAGGAAACAACAAAGGCCGGGATGGCTGGTGGAATCTTCAGGTGTCCATAAAGTGTGACCATCTTTTTTCTAGTACTCTTGAAACTTGGGTCTTTTTTTTTAGTACAGATGGAGGATTAGTTTTCCTGGAATTTTGGGGGCCCTTGTTTGTTTGTTTTTTTAAATAGTTGCTTCAGAAAGCCAGCCCCCCCCCCCTTATGAAACTCTGTTCCTGTAATCCAAAATCCCCCCAAACGACCCTGAAACATATTTCCAAACTGGTATTACCTCCTGAAACTTGGACAATGAAAAGCGTATGTGAGGTGCACACCCCACAATGGAGATTTAAAAGTGTATAGAAATTGCATGAAACGCTCACTGAAACAGACATCTACATAAAGGAAACTCATAGAAAATGGCATTACTCAGGCAAGAAGAAAGTCATACCTATGAAGGCAACTTCACAAGTATATCATATTCTATTATTCCAGGTCTGTCAATACATAAACATACTTTTGTGAGATATCAGGAAAGAAGAGAGACAATTTTGAAAGCGATCAAGTGGAATTTATTGACTGTGAACAGGACACAGAGAAAGGCCAAGTGGAAGAAGACAAATTTCACATTCGATTCAAACAAAGCATTTCCTAGTGCAACCAACAGTCCAATTTAGATGTGCCCCACTGCTGAAATACACCATGGAGTCCCACGCATGGTATCACCTACACAGTACCCAGAGACATGGGAAAAGGGCTTGAGAAAGAGAACTCGTGAGGAGATTAAATGAAAACCGTATAGGGAACAGAAGGAGTTCCTTGGTTGATCGGGACTTTGTGGGGAGAATTGCAGAGGACAAGGAGAACTCAGAATGAATTAACAAGGAGAACTCAGGATGAATTAACTGAGCACTGGAAGGAAAGGCAGTATGAACTAAATGAAGCTGGTAAGGTTTCAGAGAAAGATGCAGACTGGAAGGATAAAGAAGACAGGCAGAGGGAAAGAGAGAGAGAGAGAGAGCGGAACCACATATCAGTGGGAGTAAAGGGTTAGAAAAAGAGGGGGTTAGGGCATATGATGCTTGTAAGGTTGAGGGCAGGCTGGAGGGGGGGACTGAGCCTAATTTGCCACAGTGCAAGCAAGAGTTATATAAAATTGTATGCTTCATGGTTTTATGAGTCAGGAAGAGAAGTCGGAATTACATCATCAAGAGATGCTCTGGGCTTGATGAAATAATGGCAGGATATGATATTCTTTTTGATAATACAGGAAGGTCATTTGACGTTTCAGTATTCTTTCGGATGTTTTGCGACATGTACAGGCCGGTATAGTATAGACCTCTTTGTATGGACTGGGGGTGATCTCATGGAGACAAAAGACAAACCTTTAGGTCGGCAGATCTCCCTGATTCACTCACTTGTGTGAGGTAAAGGTTTCCCTTGCTCGAAAGCCAGTCGAGTCCGACTCTAGGGTTGCGGTACTCATCTCTGTTGCCAAGCCAAAGAGCCAGCGTTGTCCGAAGACATTTCCGTGGTCATGTGGCCAGCATGACTAAAGGCCAAGGCACACAGAACGCTGTTACCTTCCCACTGAAGTGGTACCTATTTATCTACTTGCAATTTCTTGCTTTTGAACTGCTAGGTTGGCAGGAGCTGGAGCCAGAGATGGGAGCTCACTCCATCATGCGGCACTCGGGTCTCGAACTACCAAACTACCGACCTTCCAGCCTGCAGGTCAGCGTCTTAACCACTTGAGCCACCACAGCTCCTCACTTGTGTGAACAGATCGAGTAAATACTTATTGTCTAGGTGAGTCAATTATCAGAGTCTTCTCCAGGTACTGGATTGTAGGGTTTCGGGGTAGAATTTGACAGGGATCACCAGAAGAATGGGAAGAGACAAGTGATGTAGCAAAGTCACTACATATTGCCCAAAGGAGTGATACTCTTCCGCCAGTATGTATCTTTCAATGTAGGTTGCCATTTTTGAAGTACCACAAAGCATGACATGAAGGTATTGTAAACAGATCAGCCAATATCATAATGCCGCTATATAAATCAATGGTGCGACCCCATCTGGAATACTGTGTGCAATTCTGGTCACCACACCTTAAAAAGGATATTATAGCTTTGGAAAAAGTGCAGAAAAGGGCAACTCGAATGATAAAGGGGTTGGAACACTTTCCCAATGAGGAAAGGTTAAGGCGCTTAGGGCTCTTTAGCTTGGAGAAACGACGACTGAGGGGTGACATGATTGAGGTTTATAAGATTATGCATGGGAAAGAGCAGGTAGAGAAAGAGGTACTTTTCTCCCTTTCTCACAATACAAGAACCCGTGGGCACTCCATGAAATTGCTGAGCAGTCGGGTTAGAACGGATAAAAGGAAGTACTTCTTCACCCAAAGAGGGATTAACACTTGGAATTCACTGCCACAGGAAGTGGTGGCGGCTACAAGCATGGACAACTTCAAAAGGGAATTAGATAAGCATATGGAGCAGAGGTCCATCAGTGGCTATTAGCCACAAGGTATAGTCTTATGTTCTTATGTTCTTATGTTCTTATGTTCTTATGTTCTTATGTTCTTATGACAGTTTCACAGCCCAGGAAGAGAGGGAGAAGAATGAGAAAGCGACGTGTATCCTACACAATAGCCATGCCTCCTCCTCTTGGTAGGAATTCTTGAGAGACTTTTTCAGGGACTCAAGCCGGGAACAGAAGAATCTGAAAGTAGAAAGGAGGCAGGTGCAAAGCTTTGACAGAGAAGAAGGAGCTCAGATTTTCAACAGGCAGGGCTTCCCAGGGACGCTCGTCATGCTGGCTTAAGCCCACGTCATTTCAGGACTGCTCTGAGCTTCAAACCTTTCTTGCATTGGCAACAGGATGGCTGGCAGCATTGCTGACAGCAGCTTTGGCAACAGCACGGCTTGCAGCAACAGCACGGCTGGCAGCAACAGCATGGTTGGCAGCAGCCGCCCTCGTTCCCGCAGGGGACGCAGAGGACGGTCATGTTGTCGCCACCACCGCCGCCACAACACCCGGACATTATTGTCGATGGAAAGGGAAGGCTGAAAGAGAGGGAAAGGCACATTGAGTTTGTTGAAGAGCCAGAATTATAGGTGGGTTTTTTTTTTAATGGTCATTGCCTTGTATAAAATCAACTAGTTTCATTGCTCATATTTTGAATCGAGAATCCACACTGTATTTAAAAATACTGGTATCCTGGGCTGCTTCCACACAGAGATGATTCCTCCTGGGTCTGTCTCTGCCCATGCCAATGTAGCTGTATTTGCAGCAGCAACAGAGCATCCCCACAGCTGAGATCCCTGGGCCCGCCATTATCTGCCCCCCCCAACATTGTTCCAATGGAGAGCCTTTTTTTAAATGATAGGTTTTTTAAAACTGTGGTGTTTGAATGGTATAGAGATAATTTACTCCATTCATACGCCACCTTTGTCTCTAAAGGGGACCCAAAGCATCTTCGATTGCTCTCCTTTCTTTCTTTCCTTCATTTGCTGAGGCATGGGACTGCCACAGCGCGGCCTGGGGAGGGGAGGGGAGGGAAGGCATGCGTGTGGCTTAGCTTTGCAAATGTCATTCTCTATAAATGGTTTTTGCAAAGCCACACCATGCACAAGTAACCCAGAAGTGGTGCAAGTTCACCAAGAAGATGGGTGAACTCACACTGCTTTGGCAAGTGAAGCTGAGCCCGAATAAAAGCCAAATACTACCGGCTTTTATTTGGGCCCAGTTCGATCAGTATCCGAATCAGATTAGAAAGTCTGATTTGGTTGAATAAATACCCCCCAAATACCAATAAGTTATTTTTCAGGTATTTATTTGGCTCGGTAGATACTGAGCACTCGCCCCTAGTATTTACATTAACTAGATTCTTCGCAGGCTGCCTCTTCTCCAGCACAAAGTTCTGTTGGAGTGGTGACTGGCTAGTAGCATGGTTAAGAGGCATTTTCTTCACTCCTCTTTACCCGTTTCCTTTAATCTAAAGGCCCATTCCTTTTCCTCTTTTTGTTTTGTTTTAGTATTTTGGGGTCTGTTTCAAATCAGTTCTGATCAAAGAGAAATTCAGGAATGAGTGGTGGGAAAGGAGGTTCGATGAGATTTCAAAGCATCACTCTAGAAATGATCAGATTGCAAGGAATGTCTTCCCAAGCAATCCTACCCTGCCACAACGTTTAACATTATCTTAAAAAATCCCCTCAGCAAGGGCTGAAGTTATAGGAGGGTGCATCGGGATGCAAAAGAAAACGACAAAGAGGAAGCGAAGGGTAATCCTTCTTTAGAAAAATAAAAAAGGGAACAAGAGGGATGAATGGCTCTAGATGAAAATGAAAGTGAATTTCAGGTATTTCACTCCCTGGAACAGCACAACTGGCTGGCCAGCACATGGCGATTCTCGCTGCTGCTCCAAGGGGGATGCACAGTATAAGTACAAATTAAGGTACTGTTTCTCTTTCCTCACACATTGTTCATCCAGCCTTCTCTCCTCTCTCTCTCTGTCTGTGTCACATCTTGGCACCACTTTTAACATGGCCACATGGACATATGTAGCTACCTTATACTGAATCAGACCATTATATTGAATCAGTCCCTCAGGCAGTACTGGCTACTCATACTGGCGGTGGCTCTCCAGATTCTCAGGCAGAGTCTGGACTCCTGCTGGGACTTGCCAGTGGCAACGTGTAAACTAGAACCAACCATTACTGGAGGTGCCAGCATTGCCTACTTCCTGTTAAGAACATAAGAACATAAGAGATGCCAAGGTTGGATCAGGCCAAAGGCCCATCCAGTCCAACGCTCTGTATCACACAGTGGCCAGAAATACCAGTGCCATCAGGAGGTCCACCAGTGGGGCCAGGACATTAGAAGCCCTCCCACTGGTGCCCCCCCCCCAAGCACCAAGATGACAGAGCATCACTTGCCCCAGAGTCCCTATCTATACCTTGTGGCTAATAGCCACTGATGGACCTCTGCTCCATATGCTTATCTAATTCCCTTTTGAAGCCGTCCACGCTTGTAGCCGCCACCACTTCCTGTGGCAGTGAATTCCAAGTGTTAATCACTCTTTGGGTGAAGAAGTACTTCTTCTTATCCGTTCTAACCCGACCGCTCAGCAATTTCATGGAGTGCCCACGAGTTCTTGTATTGTGAGAAAGGGAGAAAAGTACCTCTTTCTCTACCTGCTCTATCTCATGCATAATCTTATAAACCTCGATCATGTCACCCCTCAGTCATCGTTTCTCCAAGCTAAAGAGCCCTAAGCGCCTTAACCTTTCCTCATAGGGAAAGTGTCCCAACCCTTTTATCATTTGAGTTGCCCTTTTCTGCACTTTTTCCAAAGCTATAATATCCTTTTTAAGGTGTGGTGACCAGAATTGCACACAGTATTCCAAATGAGGTCCTTTTTAACTGGAGATTCCAGGATTTTAACCTGGGACCTTCTGCATGCCAAGCAGATGCTCTACCACTGATCCATGGGCCCTCAACTTCCTGAGGCATTGGAAGTCAGGCAGAGTATACGCAGGACGGATGAGGAGGCCAGGCCAAGTACCTCCCCACCTCCTAGGCACCATTTTTAAAAGGCAGAAAACTCCCTTTATCAGTGGTGGTTAAGGGAATGGCAGGCATGGGGGGATACCGACAAATGGCTCCTATATGGATGGGGAGGCCTGACAACCTGCACCTCCCCATCTATACAGTAAACAGAACTGCTTTGGCTATATGTTCTTTCTGGAAAGATGGTACCAAAGCACACTGAGGGGGTGGGGAATGGGAAGGTCTGAGAAAACCTGGATGGGGGCAATCGTAGGACAAAGTTTTATGAAAGCTCCTAGAAAATCCACTGCTGTTGAGAAAGAGGGCACAGCAAATGGTGTATGTATATTAACAATTATACTAACGTATAATTTCAATGTAACAAATCTAGATTTGAGTCCAATAGTACCTTAGAATCCAACAAGTTTTGCGGGGTATAAGCTTTTCAGAGTCAAGGCTCCCCAGGGATTCAGAATCAGGACTTCAAGAGAGGACTCGAACCTAGGTCTTCTACTGCAGGCCAACACCCCTACCGTCTGAAACTAAATTAAAAATCAGGTTCCTTGATACCTTAAGAGTTTTCCTCCCTTACTGTGGCCACCATCAAATATAAAATCTGATAAGTACTCAGTGCTCAAATACTGACAGTACTTAGGGAATGAGAACGAAGTCCTTTCTTTTAGCCCCAAAGGCTACACTACTAGAACTATCATTCCAAATTATCCCCTTTTAAAATTTGTCTTCGTGAATGTTGTTCTACTTCCATCTCTCAAGGACCAAATTTGGCCCATGAGGGTAAACGGGTCTGGAGCTTTATATTGCTTTACAGCAAGAAATACAATTGAGCAACAATTTGCTATCAGACTATTAGCATTAGAACTTAAAGAAAAATACCTTACATTCAGAAAATTAACAATACAAAGTTAACGGTGGCAAATGGAATGGAACAGACCTACCTTCTTTCAGTGGAAGGAACTTGACAGGCTTATGAATCCAGGTAAGTAAGTGAAGAGCTCGTGGTTGGTGACCCCTTTTATACTGCTCCTCATGCTTTCCACAGAGGAAGTGAGGCATCTTTACATAAACACATCATTTGTGAGACAACAAATCATTATAGTAAACAATATGGTACCTTCTGGTGCGTGATCATTGACTAGGGGTATATTGTCCATTAGAGAATTAAGTGACGTAGTGTATCATGAAGCCTATGATCTACAAATAACTGTGTGTTTCTCAGATCTGGCCAAAGGGCACTTTGAGGGTTGCTTTAACTTTGATCCACATACTGGTAACCAAACCCACACCTTGTAAGCTCTGCTTCTTAATCTCTCAGATACCAGATTCACTCTCATTTGTTTGGTTTCATGTCACTCAGTCCATGTGACTGCAATAACAATTGTGCTTATTGAGGAATGTTGCTACCTCTGGCAAGAAAGATCTCGTCAGGTCAAGGTAGAGTAATCTTAAAGTAATAATCATCAAAATCTTGAGGCTCTACTATCCCCCAAACGAGATGTACAATCTCATAAGCCTTTTCAAATAATGGAGTGGCATAAAGGGTAACACAGAAGACCAAGTCAGCCTGTGAAGAATGAGAACTGAGTGGCTTTATGGAAATAATCCTTGTACCGCCACCAAATGGAGACATAAGGCAACTAAAATCGGGTGATACTAGTTTATTCTATTCTCATATATAATTCTGTCCGAATACGTTACAAGAACTGGGGCCTGGTTTATAAAAAAAAAAAACCCTACCCCCAATGTAAAAATGCACAGATTTGTGTTTCTTTGTTTGTTTTCCCCTTCCCCAGGTTCATTTTTAACAGAAAGTAATGTGTAAATATAAAGTGGTATAATTTGGGAACATCGGACATTTTACCACATCGAAAACTGCAGAGAAAGGAGAGCTGAGGTGTCCAACCCCCCCTCCCCCACACACACACTTGTTTTCTGAGGCCATAGGGAAGTGATTGTGTGAAAGTGAGTGCTTGTCAGACTCGGGCATTTGACCAGCTGTACCTGTTGTATTTCTACCCAGTATTCTTTGGCTTGTTGTATCCTTCTTGTTCTTTGTACCCTGTCATCCATTTAGTTTGTTGCCTCCTGCACCCTTATCGCTTGCCCTCGTCTGCCATTGCATTCCTGGGGGGGGGGGGTGTCTGTAGAATTAGGGAGGCTAGCTTCAGTAATTCTTGCCTCAGAGACATCTTTCACATGAGAAGTGTCCTTTAAGGAGAGCCTGTGCATGGCTAGTTGTTGACCGTATAGCTTTCATGGTCTTTGTAGCAATGCTGACGGGTATGAATGGAATGTTAGGGTTGTACCTATATGTTGCATTCCCGCCTTTGCACCCAGTCCTGACAAAGTGCTGAACCCATAGCATCTCATATCTCTTAATAAAACATTCACTGAAGAAAGTGCATGTGAAGAGAGTGATTTGACTGGGAACCTGACAGTGCTCGGAATGCATTTGGGGGATGTCTTTGGTTTCTGGGCCCATCTTGCTTACAGCTGGTGCTCGCTTTGGCTCATTGCCATTGGCTCTGTTTTGCTTTGCCCATTTTCCTTTGGTTGGGCTTCTCACATTTGCCCTGAAGGATGTCACAGGAAACAACAAAGACCAGGATGGCTGGTGGCACCTTCAGTTGTCCATAGAGGCTGTGACGACCTCTTATTTGGGGAGGTCTAGTTTTACTTTTAAAATGTTCTTTATGTTTGCTCTCTGTAGGGTATTCTGGCTGCCACCAGGGAAATCTAGGTTTCCCCAAACCTTTTCTATAAGATTTTTCCTCTCTGGGTAGGTGTACCATGGGTCTTAGGCATTCATGAAGGTCTATGTGGTCTGAGGAAGGATTATTTGCTGAGCTGGTATACTTGAAGGAATTAGGATTTATTTAAAGAAAACATAAATACGAGGGTAAACAATGTAACCAGTACTGGGAAGGATTTGAACAAATGCTTGGTGTCTCTCACAAACTTCTCCTTTACTGACAGGGAGGTTAAAGCAACCTTGTAACACTTTTCACTGAACTCTTCTTAGACTCTCAGCTTTCAATTGTAACTCTTATAACACAGAACTTAACTGTCTGCCTAACACAGAGACTTTACTCTTATATTTCACACAGGAAAACTTCTCACACAGAGACCTCAGGACAACTCTCATATCAACTGCTTTTACACAGCACACTCTGCTCTGACTGACTGTTTTTCTCAACTGTTTAACTGACAACTCTTAACAGACACTCCTGAAAGACATTCCAATCATCCATACAGCATCCATTCCAAACCCCCCCCCTCTCTGTCACTCACCAATCATATCCCTTGCTTGTCCAGCACTCTAGATTCCTCACACAGCTATGCCAACCAAACTTTTTAAACACACACACACAGTAAAACATGGAATCGTTACACAGGGGTACAAAGTACATCAGGGAAGTGGGAAGGAGACAGTGTTATGTGGCAAGTGGAGCTGAGATGTACAGCTCTGGTCCACTTGTGAAGCACAGAAGGTTGGCTTTAGCCGCCACAGTGCGAACCTCCATCTGCAGTAGCTAAAGGCAATTTATAGTATCAAGTTGCCAGTGGAATACAGTGCCACATACAGTTCTCCACTTATGCCTCCTACTCAGTCACATATAAGTGTACACATGCTAAGAAATTGAATAAAAATAAATATGAGTAGCTATTCAGACAGTACCCAGCCAATTAAACCAAACAACGTTTTCCTTCGGAAGAACAGAGGCAGTACAGGAATCCATGTCTACCCCAGAATCTGTTCACTGAAGCCAGTCTGCTGCTGGAAAACAGCCAGGGGAGGGAGAGAAAGAGCCACTGCAAAGGTTGACGAGGGAGAGACAAAGCACAGGACAGCAGCACAAGGGGAAAGGAGCAACCAGAGGAGAAGTCTGGAAGGTCAGCACTGAGAGCCAGTGTAGGATAGTGAACAAGAGTGTGGAACTGGTATCTGGGAGACTCGGGTTTCAGTCTCCAGTTCTGCCATGGAAGCCCACTGGGTCAATGATACTCTCTCAGCCTAACCTACCACACAGGGTTGTTGTGAGGATAAAATGGAGAGGAGAACGATGTCAGCCACTTTGGGTCCCCATTGGGGAGAGAGGCAAGGTACAAATGAAGTAAATGTGAAGGCTTTAAAAAAAAAAAAGGGAAATTACAAAAACAACACTGCCCTGGGGCTTTTAAAGAAATGTTCCCAAAAGAAAAACCGGAAATGTTGGGAAGCTCTGAAAAAGCACCTACAAAATACCAATCTTTAGAATTAATGAAATGCTTTCTGAGACATGTAACTCATTCAGAATGTGTCGTATGAAGATTTTGATGCAGCACAAACCTAACAGCATTCGATAATTATATTTCCTGTGTATATAGACAAATGCCCACAGATGTTCTCTGTGCGACTGAACAACAACAACAATTTTATCCACAATTAACCTGCTATAATATGATAA